AAAGGGCAAAACCCTAAAGTTAGCATTTTCCTCTGGAAATTATTCAAGAAAGCTCTGCCCATCCCTGAGAACTTAGAGAGACTTGGTTTTCATCTTCCCTCAGTTTGCTTCTTGTGCCACAATGGTCCATACACAGCAAGTCACTGTCTCTTAGAGTGTCAACAGGTTCAACCTATTTGGAGGCATTTTTCAGCTATATTGGGCATCATCCATGGTAACTTCTCTTCTAATAACCAATTCTTCATGAACTGGTGGCTTAGAGGTAATAATACTATTGGTGGTTTCATTCGGCAACATCTTCCATCCATCATTTCCTGGCATATTTGGAAGCAAATAAATATAATTATCCACAATGATGGTGCTTGGGACCCTGCTCGGGTAATCAACAATATAGCTAACTACACTAGGCAGTGGTTACTGGCCAAATGTCCCAAGGCTTTTCGAACTAGAGATGATTGGCTTATATCCAACAATATCAGCCCTCCCTTTCGCACTATGAAACTTATTCGTATGGTGAAATGGCTGGCCCCTCCTAGTGGAAGGCTCAAACTTAATGTGGATGCTTCCTACACTCCATCCCACCAAAGAGGAGCTTGTATACTTAGAGATGATAAAGGCAACTTCATCCATGCAGCCAACTTCTCAATTACAGCAGGAACATCATATATTGCTGAAGTTCAAGCCCTGATTAAAGCTGTGCAATGGGCAGTTAGACTCACGGAAAACTTCATTATTGAAACGGATGCATGGGAGATCTATGTACGTACAACTAAATTAACTGCCCACCCATTCTCCATGTTTCCCACTGATGTTTTGAGCAGATTAATCCAAAACCACAAACTGGAAATACGTCATACTTTGAGACAAGCTAATCGAGTTGCTGACCTCTTGGCAAAGGAAGATAGAATTAAAGACATTGTTTTTATTGAATACAAATATGTTTCTAGTCTCCCTATTAATGTAAGATCTGCGCTTGCGCATGACTTTGTACCCTCCTTTCGTTTTGATTAATACAATTTTCATTGCCTTATATATATATATATATATATATATATATATATATATATATATATATATATATATATATATATATACTCCCTCCGTCCTCCTAAGATGTTCTCATTTTGACTTTTGGTGGTTTTTAAGGAGAGTTGAAAAAAGGTGAAAGTTTACCATAATACCCTTAATGAAATATGGGTGGAGTGTATTAAATGAGGTGGGTGAGGTGTAATAAATAAAGTAAGTGGGGGTAGTTATGGTATTTTAATTGTTAAAAAAATGAAATGAGAAGATCTATTGTGGACAAAGAAAAAGGGCTATTGAGAAGATCTATGGAGGACGGAGGGAGTATATATATATATATATATATATATATATATATATATATATATATATATATATATATATATATATATATATATATATATATATATATATATATATATATATATATATATATATATATATAACCCGAAGGATCCACCAAACTCAGTGGTGCTACGTTCGGGGAACCGTAGCAAAGTTTATTAAATATAGAACTTTATACAGCACAATGGTTGAGTTGAGTACTCAGCCCACCAGGACAAGCCCGAGTAAAAAGAGACAAAAAAACATGATACACAAATAAAATACACAAACAACAGACTAGTCTATGAGGATGTTCCTTCTGCTTAATCGTCATTGCCTCCTCTCCTCCTTCTCGAATGACTGCTGCAAAACCGTAGCTGCTCCACAGGTTTGTACTTCCCATTGAGGCTGAAGGTTTGGTACCCCAAGTCATACAATTCTTGGTCTCTGATCATCCAACTCTTTTTCCTGTGTAGCCAATTCCAATGTTGAATGGTTGTTTTTATTCGTTTAAGTGCTGTGGACATAACGGGGATGTCTTCATTGTAGATTGCTGCAGTGTATATTTTCCATATGTTCCACGCTATTATACCTGGTATAACCATTCTCAAGTTTCCTCTTTGTGTCTTACTATTTGCTCTAAGACCCCATTCTAGGAAATGTTGTCTCAAAGTAATTCCTTCTCTGGCTTTTGGTCCTTGTAGGAGGTTTGCAAAGAAGTTCCAAATGTTGATGCTGAACTCACAATGGAGAATGGTATGGTTTACACTTGCTTCCCATGATTTGCAGAGCGGGCATTGTGAATGCAGGTGGAAGCCAGCTTTGATGTATAGCTGTGGGAAAGGAATGATGTCTTGCAGAATTTTCCATTGGAATAGTTTAACACTTGGAATTTGAAGCTTGTGCCAAGCCAGTTTGTAACCTAGTTGTGAATTCCCCACTTCCCTGCATGCATTGTAACCTTGTTTAAGAGTGAATTCTCCCCCATCCCAATGCATAACACCATTTTGCAAACCCGAGTGTTCCTCTGCTATACATGCCACTCTACATATTCTCTTCCAATTAGGGGAGTCCACTATTTTTTCTTGGAATGAATTTCTCCTCAGGTACTTGTCTCTAATGAATAAGGCAAATATACTATTACCCCTCTGAGCCTTCCACCATATTCTTAGTGAGTATGCCTTTTGCAGATCCTTGATATTTCTCAGCCCCAGACCTCCCTCGTCTTTAGGTTTGCAAATAGCTTCCCATTTTCTCCAGTGATGCTTGGCCTTACCATTTGTGTAACCCCACAAGAAATTAGCCATAACCCTATTCAACTGGTTGATAATAGATATAGGCAAGCTGTGGATAGCCAAGTAGTGAAATGGAATTGATGAAAGAACATGCTTAATGAGAATGAGTCTTCCCATTGGATTCAACATTTTGCTATACCAGGTGGTTATTTGCTTTTCAAAATGCTCTAAGAGTCCATGACAGTGGATTTTTTTGATCTTTCCCTTGCAAATTGGAACTCCTAGATACTTGAAAGGCATTTTATCATTTTTCATCCCCAAGGCTACTTCCATTCTGGTGACCTTGTTGTTTTGGACCTTGCTCTCAACATAGAATCTAGATTTGCTGTAATTAACCTCCTGTCCAGACCCTTTAGTATACTCCTTTAACAAGGCTTTGAATTTTAGGAAGTTTCTAATTCCTCCTCTTAAGAAAATGATAAGGTCATCAGCATATGCCAAGTGACTCACCAGGAAATTCCTTCCTGTGTTGAACCTTTGAATGAACTTCCTTTCCATAGAAGTTTTAATCATCCTTGAGAAGACTTCACTAGCAATGATGAATAGTAGAGGGGAGAGGGGGTCCCTCTGCTTAACCCCTCTCTCCATCTTGAAAAATCCAGTTGGGCAACCATTGATAAGAATTGAAATGTGAGTACCCTTTAGATTTGAGATCAATAATTCCTGCACTCTAGGGGAGAAGCCAAATCTGTCTAAGACGCCCTTTAAAAAGTTCCACTCAATTTTGTCAAATGCCTTTGCCATATCTATTTTGATTATAGAGTTGCCCCCTTCACAATGTTTATCCAAGTTGTGAGCCATTTCACATGCCATTAGAATTTGATCCTCCACTCCCATGCCCTTTTGAAACCCTGCTTGTTCCTTAGAGATTAGTTTTGATAGTAAGGTCTGTAGCCTTGTAGCCAAAATCCTAGTATTAATCTTGCTCATAAAAGTAGAGAGGGAAATTGGCCTGTAGTCTGAGAACTGAGTGCATTCTTCCTTTTTAGGGATAAGGGTAATGAAGGTGCTGCCATAGGCTAAAGGAGTTGGTACACCAATAAAGAATTCTTGAGTAGCCTTAGTAACATCTTCTTTAATAATGCTCCAACATCTTCTGAAGAAGTTACCATTAAAACCATCGGGGCCTGCAGCACTGTTAGGGTTCAAATCCCAAACTGCCTGTTTAATTTCCTCTTCATCTGGTATCCTACACATCATATTATTGTCTTCAAGGCTAATTAAGTTAGGTATGTGTTCTAGGATATTAACTGCATCTGTGTTCCTGGACGAGCTGGACACCTCCTTAAAATAAACCACTGCTTCCTTTTTAATTGCCTCTACCTCCAAAGTCTTCTTTCCATTTCGAGCCAATATGCTTGTGATTTTCAGTGCGCTTCTTCTGCCTTTCACATATGAATGGAAATATGAGGTGCTTTGATCCCCTAGTTCCATCCATTTTATGTGTGCTTTTTGCTTCCAATATTGGGTTTCCCTATTGGTAGCTTCAATAAGTTCAGCATTGGCTTTGTTGGCACGAGACCTTAGTTCTTCTCCTGGGTTGCCTTCAAAATCTTCCTGTGCTTTCATTGCTTTGATTTCTGCATCCTTGACAGCCTGAAATATGTCTCCAAATGTATCTTTACTCCAGGCTTTAAGGATATGCTTGAGCCCTCTTAGTTTTGTGGCAAGTCCTTTCATCCCTCCAGTCATTTGCTGTTTAACCCAGTATTCTTTCACCACCTCGAGGAAACTGTGGTGATTGAACCAAAAGTCTTGGCATCTGAAAGGTTTGGCCCCAAAGTAGTTTTCAAGGGTGCAATGGAGAATTAGAGCCTTGTGGTCAGAGGATGCTTTGCTGCAATGTTTGATGGTGATTTCTGTGAAGAAATTCATAGTATAAGAATTCACCAGGGCTCTGTCTAGTCTTCTCCAGATTTTGCCCCTACTCCGTACTCCACTCCAAGTGAAGATGCCTCCTGTGAAGGGAGGGCTAAGGAGGGGTATAGCTTCAGTGCAATCCTTGAACTCATTCAGTTCAGCAAGGGATGGGGTTGTAGAGCCTTTATGTTCATCAAAGGAGCTTATAGCATTGAAGTCACCTCCAACTACCCAAAAATGGTCTTTAATGATGTTATTAGTGAGATCAGACCACAGCTCTCTCCTTTGTATGCCAGTGTGTTTTCCATAGACAGAGGTGATGCTCCATTTTGTGTTAAGATTGCTATCCCAGAAATGGCAAGTGTACATCTGAGTGAATTCTTGGACATGGGTGAGTTTAAGTCTATCACCTCTCCAGAAGACCCATAATTTATTGTTAAGAGCAGTAGCACAGTTAGAGTAACCCAGCATCATTCTAACTGCATTCACCTTGTGCTCTTTAGCCATAGGTTCCAAGACAGCAACAAAATCCACTCTATTAGCCTTAGTGAGAGAGATTAGTCTATTTACCGAGGAGTTAATCCCACAAACATTCCAGAAGATACAATTCATGGTAAATGGAAAAAGGTAATTTCTTTGTTCCCTGTCATACTCCTGGTGAGCATATTAGGGAAAGTCTGGCCCCTTTTTTTCCTTTCTGCTTTAGGTACTGAAACACATATTGAGTTAGGGGCAGGGGTGCAAATATGCAGATCCTTCAGATTAGATTTATCTAATATAGTATCTTCTTCCCCCTCTGAATGGTATCCAAATTGAAATTGTGTCTCCTCTGATGTTTTCAAAGAGTCTAGTAGTATACCTAGTCCAATTTCTGGGCTATTGTGTAGGCAGTCATCCATAGAAGAGGGGATGTGCCTAAAATTACCCCTTGGGGACCTAGGAATAAATCTTCTCTTTGCGTATGCCTTAGCTTCTGACAGGGATGGGAAGAGATCATTTGTACTGTTGTTGTTTGTAATTTGGAGATCCTTTATATTTTCTGCAGGTGTGGGGTCTGTCAGCTGGGTTGTAACAGAGGTTGGCTCCATGGGTTGGTCCAGCAGGTGAAAGGTATTGTGACTGCTTTTCCTTGCTATTGTACCTGGTTTCCTGACCCACTTTTTCTTATTTTGCTGGTGTTCTGAACTTATTTTGCTGGTTGTGCTTGTTTTCTTGCCCTTAACTATATTCCACTGGAGGGCCCCATTTTCTCTCTGTTCTGCCTGCTTGCCCTTGCCGGAAGTTGCCTTTCCGGTAAGGTTTTTTCCCTTATTGCAACTTTTACTTTTATGGCCTAGTTTCTTGCAGGTAATGCAAAATTCTGGGTTACTTTCTCTCTGGCATGGGATAAAATGCTCCTTATCTCCAATCCTTAGGTGCACGGATTTAGGAAAAGGTATAGAAAGATCCCTTTCAATGAGAACTCTTGCTTTTGTCCCCCTATCCAAGTTAGTAGTCCTTTCATCTAATTGGATAGGGCGTCCAATGGTTGATGCAAGGGTAAACAAAGATTGAAATCTAATAAGATGTAGTGGTAGATTTTTGAAAGTTACCCAAATAGGAGCCACAGGATTATCCCAAGAGAAATGATGATTCTTACTCCATTTGCAGACATGAAGATGCGCAGAGCCAACATACCAGAGTTGCTTCCTGAGGAATCTGACATAGTCTGCTTCTTGTGTGAAGATGAATAGGATGGTATTGGCTGACATCCTTCTTATCTTGAATCCTCCATTGAAGCCACCCTTGAGAAGGAAAGCTTTTAGCCCTTGCAAATTAAGCTGCTGGCTGCTGCGTCCAATGATTGCGAACTTAAGATTGTCTGCCAATTTATCTTCTTCTTCAAATGTAAACGAGGCTGAGGGGATGGCTTTGTAGAATCCCTCCACCTTTCCCAGAGGATTAGAATTAGATTGGGAAAACAATTCTGAGAAAAGCTTCGGGAGTTTACAAGAGGCATCAGAGTTGTTGATTGCCGAAATCTTAGCCGGAATATTGCCGGAAAAATTTCTCTCTCTAGCCATCATTATATATATATATATATATATATATATATATGTAACGCTCCAAAACATACCCTAGAATTATTAATGAATAAATAGTCAATTAATCAAATTTGTTTTGATTAAAATAAATTATTGTTGGGCTTTGGGCCGATATGAAATTTGTTTTGACATCCAATATCAAAATCTGGATAAGTCTCATAGAGATAAATCCAGTATGTGGACTATTTGTGTGGTCTTCAGTGGGAACCTGAGTACAGACCCAAATCAAGAGTAAATAAAGAATTTGTTTAGAATGTAAATATTGAAATAATTTCTTAAAATAAATCATGAGAATAACTGATATAAATTAAATGAGAGAACCTTTATGAGAAAGGTCAATTAAACCAATTCTGACTCTGTCAAAGTCAAACACCCAAAAATATGATGTCAGAAAAAAGTATTGCAAATAAATTTGAAAATTATATCATTCAATAGAGCTTGACTGTCTGATCGCAACGGTGCAAACGGAATTAGATCCGGAGAAAGTTGAACCAAAAAGTGTACCCCGACTAGAACCAAAAATTGGTCGACACTGTGCGAACGGCGCCTCCTCCTCCACTCAGCCGATTCCTACGTAGAAGCAGCTCAGCATTGTCCTCTTCCCCTTCATCAACTCCTATATAAGGAGTACTCAAAACCTTCAAACATGCATCATTCTTTCTCAAAATTAGTCCATAAGAATCTTGAGAGTGAGGAGAGTGGTCTGGTGTTGTTGATTGTTGTTGAAGTCGCCGGAGCTAGCCACGAACCTCGCCGGAAGTTTCGCCGGAAAATTTCCAAAACCTCCGTTAAGCTTCGAGGTAAGCCCGTAGATATATCTAGTGACTAGAATGTTCATATAGATTGTTTCTACGTTCATAAACGATCGTTTGGTTGAGTTTTGTGTTTGACATGCTTGAAGAACCAAGAATCATAAACCTTGAAATTGATGTTAAAACTATGAATTAATGATGTCAAAATGATCTATGAACCTTGGAGAACATCTCTATATAGTTTCGTTGAAGTTCGATAACTAAAAACGGTATTTCCGAAATTGGACCCGAACGAAGAAGAAGATGAACAGTGGCTGAAACACCACTGTCTGATCGATCCAGGGGCTTGGATCGATCTCCTGGGAGTGATCTTTCATAGTATGGATCGATCTAGAGGGCTGGATCGATCCCCCGAAGTTCTGATCCGAAAATTTGCCCGAAATTGCTATTTTTGAGCTCTAAAATCCTATTTTTGATACCAATTGATTATGATTATTTTAAGGATGATTCTTTACAATAAAAATGATGTTTTTAACAAATAAAAATGTTATGTGATGCATAACGGTAAGTTCGGGTGTTAACACTTGAAACTAGACCGCTAATTGTTATTGCTTTAAATGTTATGTTGATTGATGATTATGATTAATGAACCTACTGATTAAAAATGAATATGTTGATGATTATGGTAATGATTATTGGTTGGTGATTATGATGATTAAATCTTGATAAATGTTTTGATTAAAAATGATAATTATGAATGATTAAATCATAATGAATATATTGATGATTGTGAAAATAATATGTATTGTCAAGGGTATCTAGAAGATCTCTAAGATATACCCATATATAATGTTGATTTGAAAGGTATCTAGAAGAACTCTAAGATATACCTATATAAGTTAGGCCTTGTGGGTATGATGCCCGGTGGCTAGGGTTAAAACGTAGGTACGGGATCCAAGAACCAAACTTGAGTACCTACTCGTTTGGGGGTACCACCCACCCAACAGTGAACACTACGCTGTCGGTTTTTGGTTGGCCTTAAGTGAAGGTAAGTTTAAGATTTCCAAAACCCTTTTATCTTAAACTAGGCCTAGCTTAAGGATTATTAGGAGTACTCTGTATACTGGAATATAGTTTAATTAGTTAAACTAGAATTCATTTAAGGGTTGACAAATATTAAAGTGATTGGCCTTAGACTAAGAATAGTTTAAGGATACTGTTGAATGACAAATGATGAATATACATGTTGGATGATTGAATAATGAATGTTGAAAATTGAATATTGATTATTGAATATCTGAACTGAACATTATGTGCATGATATCAAATGGTTGATTATGAATTGAGATTCAATTTATGTGAATGTTCGACGCATTAGATATGCTTACTCAGCTTTACCGCTGAGCGTGTAGTGTGTTTTATTTGCTACACGCAGGTCAATAGAATGATATGACATGATCTTGGAGGCAGACGGAGGCGAGATAGTCGGAATGGATGTGATGGTTTTGAATTAAAGAATATAAATAAATTATGTTTGTGGTTATGATTTGTTAAGCTTCCGCAATATTGAAAACTCTATACTGTTTATGATATGAAAAATATTATTATGATAAATAAAAGTGTTTGAAAAGTTTTAAATTTTACGATTACCAAGTTAATACTTTAGTCCGAAAGGGGCTGCAGACCTAGGCGGATTAGGGTGTTACAATATATATATATATATATATATATATATATATATATATATATATATATATTGTGGTTCCCCCCTGTAGAGATGGTTACAGGGTTAATCGGCGAACAACACCACACAGGTTCGATCCCAGAAGATGCAAATTTAGAGGAATTTTAAAGAGTTAAGCGTGCTGGCATGGGGGTAGCAAAAATGATGGGTGACCCCCTGAGAAGTAGATTTGGGCTTATGGAGCTGGACTTTAGATTGGGCTTACTTTGAGCATTCTATAGTGGGCTATCTACCTCAGGTGTTAACGGGCCCCGGGGTAGTCACGAGGTTAATGGGCCTCGGGCCCCCTGCTTGTAACCGACCGTTCATTAATAATAAAAAAATTATATATATATATATATATATATATATATATATGTATGCACTTAATTGTTTATTTTTATTAGTTATTTAATATATATATATATATATATATATATATATATATATATATTACGCCTTTTGAGTTTTGAGTAGCCTAATGGGTATATCATACTTTAAATGAATATATATAAAACTAATTAAATAACTAATAAAAATAAACAATTAAGTGCATAACCCGTCGGGTCAAACCCGACCCGACCCGTTCTGACCCGAAAATTTAACGGGTCTTCGGGTTCGGGTCGCAAAATCTATGTTCAAAACCCGCTAATTTCGGGTCGAGTTTCGGATTAATAATGAGTCGGGTCAAAATTTGCCAGGTCTAAAAAAAGGGTACATTTCTGATATAAGTTTCTAAAAATGGTACTCGGTATTGGGTTTTGAATACAATATTTGTTGTGACCTCATGAAATGTCTAATGAACTAGATTTAACTTTTGTTATGTTTTTAAGCAAGACATACAAAGAGTCTTTGTATGTAATAGCTTTCAAAAAAATGGTCCTTTCATCCTATAATAGTAGATCTTTTTATTTAATTTTTAATTTATATTTTTTATTTCCATACCAATTTATAAACAAAATATTATGAATTCACCCAAAATAAGAATAAAATATAAAAAAGTATCAAAATAAGACTTCTATATTTTTAACCCCAAAGTAGTCATTTGCACCGTGACAACGTGACATTGTATATTGACATTGCACTGTAATTTTTTATTATATGTCAACATTATTCTATTACAACTTCTATGATATAAATAATAGGGAAAATTATATGGTACATCCGGTTGTACCTAAAATTAGGTACAACCGGCTAATTAAGGATGAAAAATTAATGGAACGGAAGCCACGGGAGTTGAAGTCGCTCCTCTGTTGGCCGGGTCGGGCCGCCGGAGACGAAAGACATGGAGCAGCGAAGATGACGAGGAGTGACGGTGGCGAAAATCCGTTAAAAACAATAGAGAAGGAAGATTGAGCAGATAGGTTGTCGCAGCGTTACAGAAAGAGGTTGATCGAAGAAGAAAGGCAGTATATGGGAGGAGAGGTCTCAGATGAAAACTCTAGTAGAGTGGAAGCGCTGAGTGAAAGGTTATTTATGAGTTTTATTTTATTTGAGAATGAGCATTATGTTATTTGAGAATAAGTATTATTTTAATTTAGAATGAACATTACGTTATTTGTGGATAAATATTATAATTGTAATGAATAAATGTGTGAAAATGAGTACTACATTATTTCAAAATGAGTACTACGTTATTTTAGAATAAGTAACACACTATTTCTAAATAAATACTCCCTCCGTCCCGGAGTATTCGTCCAGTTTTGACTTTTGGAACTGTTCATCTAAGCACTCTGACTTATCAAATTCTCTCAATGTGTAAGCCTAAATATAGTCACGTGTGATCTTGTTTGATTTGTCTTAACATATAGATTATTAATATATAATTTATATAATTTTTTAATATATAAATTACAAGATAAAATGGATTAAAGAAATTCGTGTAAAAATGAAGGTGGACAGACATCAACAAGCTCTGTTTTCCTCTATCCAAGCTAAATGCTTAGATTCTTCCCCGGTTCCTCCTGCCCGTCCAGTTGTTTCTTCTTTGCTTCTTCAGTTCTTCCGATTTCATTCAATACTCGCTAGGAAGACGAAATGGCGCTATTGCTTCCTGCATCAACATCGCCTTCAGATTTCCACAAATTTCCATCTTCCATTGGGAAAACCCTAAACTCCATATCGCGTCTTCCATTTACAGGCAAGAGCAAAACTTAATTTCTCCCATTTTCTACTACCCATGCAGATTTTCAATTTTCCAAGAAGAAAAATAACTTTATGTTTTTATTCGTGCATGTTATTACCGCCCACAGTAAGAGCTGGGAAGTATAAAAAGAGCAGCCAGAGGGCTCCGTCATTTGTTGCTTTATCTGTGAAGAGCAGTCGACCAGTTTGCAAAACAGGTCAAGGCGGTGCAATTGATATTAAATCAAGTAAATGTGGTGGTGAATATGGGAAATTGATCAGATTGAGCGAGGGAAGGGACGAGGATGAATTATATGGGTCTGTGTGCCCTGGTTGTGGAGTCTTTTTGCAGGATAAAGACCCCAATCTTCCCGGGTACTACAAGGAACCCACAGTCGGTTATTCGAAAATAGATGTAGAGGAAAACAATGAGGGTGTTTTGGATGACGATGATGGTGGTGGCAGCGACATCAGTGAAGACTATGAAACGTTTGATGATATTGATAAAATTGAAGGAAGAATTGAAGAAATGGATTCCGGAAATGAAGATGAGATTGATTGGGATACGGAACAATGGGAATCTGGCTTTGAAACAGAAGAAAGTGATGGGTTGGATGGGTTTGCTCCGGCGGGTGTAGGTTATGGTAATGTCACAGAGGAGTATCTTGAGGGGTTGAAGCAGAAACGGGTGTCAAAAGCCGAGAGGAAAAAAATAGCACGAGAGGCAGCTAAGAGCGAAAAGGAGGAGGCGGTGACAGTTTGTGCTCGTTGCCATTCATTGAGGTACTATGGACATGTTAAAAATCAAAAGGCAGAGAACTTGATACCCGATTTTGACTTTGACCGGTTGATAGCTACCAGATTAGTGAAACCCAGTGGGAATGCTGATGCCACAGTTGTGCTCATGGTGGTGGATTGTTTAGATTTTGATGGGTCATTTCCAAAGAGGGCTGCCAGCTCTTTATTCAAGGCACTAGAAGGAAGCCAAAGAGAAGGTTTGAAACAAAGTAAAAGACTGCCAAAACTTGTTCTAGTTGCAACAAAGGTTGATCTTCTCCCATCCCAAGTGTCACCGGCAAGGCTTGATAAATGGGTGAGACGGCGTGCTAAGGCTAATGGTGCATCTAAACTCAGTGGAGTTTATTTGGTTAGTGCCCGTAAGGATCTTGGCGTGAGAAACTTACTGGGATTTGTTAAGGAGTTAGCCGGTCCACGTGGTAATGTGTGGGTTATTGGAGCTCAAAATGCAGGAAAGTCAACCTTGATCAATGCATTTGCTAAGAAGGGTGGAGTGAAAGTTACAAAGCTTACTGAAGCTCCTGTTCCTGGAACTACACTTGGGATCCTGAGAGTTAGAGGGGTACTGTCTGCCAAGGCCAAGATGTATGACACACCGGGCCTTCTACATCCGTATCTATTGTCGATGAGACTAAGTAGGGATGAGCAGAAAATGGTCGAGATACGGAAGGAACTTCAACCTCGCAGCTACAGAATAAAGGCAAGTTTTTTTTTCTTTTTAAGTTTATAAATGCCTATCCTAGTAATCTAGTATCATGTATGGTTTGTCAAGTTCTGTGTAAGCTAGAATTAGTATGAATTGCTTGAAGGTTATTCTATCAGATAAGCACTCAAGCTTTTTAAAATCACATCAAATCGAGAAAGGGTGTATCTAAATTTAAATCACAAATCAAATAGTCAATTTTTTATTTGCTAAAAATGAAGCATAGCAACTAGTACATGCAAAAATACAAACACAACATTCAACAAACAGTTCAAATTGTTTCCCTAGAAAAAGGGTCTTGTTTCAACTTTTTTTTTTGTCCCAAAAGAAGTCTGGTTAAGAAAAAATACCTTTAGTTAATTATAAAGGAAAATCATGTAAAGCCCAGCAGCTATTTTAGTCAATAGCTCCAAACAGTCCTGAAAATACATTTTAGGGGTATTAGTGACCGTTCATAGTCTGTAAAAGTCAGTACTTTAATTGGGTTGACAAAAAATAAAAGGTCTGCCTTTATTTAAAGAGGACTCTTTATATAGGGCGGAGGGGGTAACATTAAGGGCTTTTAGATAAAATCATACACCTTATACAAGATTATCATTCAAGCGAATCTATTCTCAATCAACATTATCATAATAATATGATAAAGATCCAACTCATTCTTCTTCTCGTCGAATTTATTAAATAGCATTATCAACAACAACAAGAATATCAATATAATTTTAGCTCCATTGGGGTCTAGGAGTCAAAATGTATATGCAACCTCACCCCTCGAAAAAACATAAAGTCTTAAACATAAATATGTCACATAATGGATGCAGTAGATTTTTGTACACTTCAATTGCTGGTGTGGTCGTGGCCTTTTTAACTACATTGAAATTTTTTGTTGAATTTCTTAAATGTTTCAATGTGTTTATAAAGTTAAAAATCTGAAATTGTTTCTCGACGTTATTCTAATTCAATAGTTGCCTACAATTTGTAGGCCGGACATACTGTACATGTTGGAGGGTTACTAAGATTAGACCTCAATCGTGCTTCGGTGGATACCATTTACATCACTGTTTGGGGGTCTCCAAGTGTCTCTCTACATCTTGGTAAAACAGAAAATGCCGATGAAATTTGGAGCAAGCACTGTGGGGTTAGGTTGCAGGTAATTCATTTTCATCGCATTGCATACTATAGAGTATTCCATAGTTAGTATTGAATATATGAATGTGGACCTATTGGTTTGTTTTGCCTTTGTGGTACCTCGATTCTTTAAAATTTTATTTCTATATATATATATATATATATATATATATATATATATGTACATACATACACACACACACACACACACATATATATATGTATATGTAGGGATTGACTCTAGTGAGATGACACTTTATGGTGAGATGACATGCTTCGGTGAGATGACGCAAAGCTCACCACATTACACTGCAAAGCTCACCAATGGCCAATGTAAAGCTCACCTGTAAATAAAGCAAAGCTCACCACTTTGAACACCAAAACTCACTTTTTTTTTTTAATTTTGAAAATTTAAAAATTAATAAAAAATAAAATAGCAACAACAGTCAACCACCGGTCAGCGGCGGCGGCGCGGCGGAGACCGGCGGCGGCAGGGGATCGCCGGTGATGGTCAACGGTCAATGGTCAAGGTCTAGTTAGCACCCCTTCCTTTGATTTTTTTTTCAAAAAAAAATTCAAAATGTTCAAAAAATATGGTGAGCATATCCTTTCAGTTTGGTGAGCTTTGTAGTTGCCCTTGGTGAGCTTTGCAGTGGCCAGTGGTGAGCTTTACGTCATCTGACCGTAGCATGTCATCTCACCGTAAGGTGTCATCTGACTGGAGTCAATCCCATAAAACAAAAGGAAGGGGTGCTGACTAGACTTTGACCGTTCACCGCCGCCTTTCGCCTGTCGCCGCCTCCGCTCCGCCACTAGTCGCCGGAAATCGCCCCCGGTCGCCGGAATCCACCGCCGTCAGCCACCACCGGAATCCGCCGCCGCCGGTCGCCGGAATCCGCCACTGCTCCGGTCGCTGGTCGCCGGAATCCGCCTGCCGCCGCCGCTGACCGGTGGTTGACCAGTGTTGCCATTTTATTTTTTATTAAATTTTTAATTTTTAAAATTAAAAAATGAGTTGGTGTTCAAAGTAGTGAGCTTTACTTTATTCCTAGGTGAGTTTTGCATTGTCTATTGGTGAGCTTTGTAGTGGGCAGTGGTGAGCTTTGCATCGTCTCACCATAAGGTGTCATCTCACTGGAGTCAATCCCATATATATATATATATATATATATATATATATATATATACTCCCCCCGTCCCACTGTCTTTGTCCACTTACCTTTTGGCACACCATCCAATGCACTTCTTTAATCCATTTTATCTTGTAATTTGTATATTAAAAAATTATAAAAATTATATATTAATAATTTATATGTTAAGACGAATCAAACAAGATCACACATGACTATTTTTTGGCTTACACATTGAGAGAATTCGATGAGTCAAAGTGCTTAGATGAACAGTTTCAAAAGTCAAAATTGGACAAAGACAGTGGGACGGAGGTAGTATATATATATATATATATATATATATATATATGTATGTATGTATGTATATATATATGTATATGTGTATATATATATATATATATATATATATATATATATAAAATATATATATATATATATATATATATATATGGGATTGACTCCAGTGAGATGACACCTTACGGTAGGATGACATGCTTCGGTCAGATGACACAAAGCTCACCACAGGTCACTGCAAAGCTCACCAAAGACAACTACAAAGCTCACCAAAGTATAAGGCAAAGCTCACCATATTTTTTCAACAATTTGAATTTTTTCCAAAAAAAAATCTAAGGAAAAGGTGCTTTCTAGACTTTGACCGCCAGCATTGACCGACGCCGCCCGCCGCCGGTCGCCGGAATCCAGTCACCGCCGCCGCCGGTCGCCGTCGCCGGTCGCCGCCGCCGCCGGTCGCCGGAAACCGGTCACCGCCTCTGCCGGTCGCCGGTCGCCGCCCGCCGCCGCCGGTCGCCGGCCGCCACTACTGCTCCGCCGCCCTTGACCGGTGGTTGACCGGTGTTGTTATTTTAATTTTAATTAATTTTTTAATTTTTAAAATTTAAAAAAAGGTGAGTTTTGGGGTTCAAAGTGGTGAGCTTTGCTTTATTTCCAGGTGAGCTTTGCATTGTCCATTGGTGAGCTTTGTAGTGTAGTGTGATGAGCTTTGCTTTATTAGCTTTTTTTTTTAAAAAAAAGTTGTGAGCTTTGCATTGTTCCTTGGTGAGCTTTCCATTGACAGTTGGTGAACTTTGCATTGATAGTTGGTGAGCTTTACACTTTGACCGCCCATGACTAATGTCCACCACCGATGACTCCCACTGTTGCCGTGGACCGGTGGTTGAGCGGTGGTTGAGTGGTGGCTGAGTGGTGGTGTTAGTTTTTTAACTTTTTTTATTTAAAAAAAGTGGTGAGCTTTGCATTGACAGTTGGTGAGCTTTGCATTGGTAGTTGGTGAGCTTTGCATTGGCAGTTGGTGAGCTTTTCATTGGCAGTGTTGTGTGTTGTGTCATCTCATTGAAGCATGTCATCTTACCATAAGGTGTCATCTCACTAGAACCAATCCGTATATATATATATATATATATATATATATATATATATATATAAAGCTCAAGTAAAAAAAAGGAAAATCATAAAGAACAATCATGGTGTATCTTGGTTTGTATCTTGTGTTCAGCCTCCTATTACCACGGAGAGAGTTCCTGAGTTGGGCCAGTGGAAAGAAAGACAAATCAAAGTGTCTGGCACAAGCTGGGATGTGAACAGCATTGATATTGCTGTGGCTGGTTTAGGGTGGCTTTCCTTTGGTTTAAAAGGTGAAGCGGACTTAAGGTTGTGGACATATGGTGGCGTCGAGATCACCTTCCGTGAGCCATTGATACTTGACCGTGCCCCGTTTCTTGAGAGACCTGGATTTTGGCTACCCAAGGCCATCTCAGATGCGATTGGAAACCAAGCCAAGCTTGAAACTCAAACAACAAGGAAAAGCAAACAAGATAAAGACACGATCTTACCCTCAGAAGCAAAAGTATCCTCTTGAAGACTAACACAATTTTTTTACACTATGGTTCAAGGAATTTGAAAGGGGAAAAAAAGAAAATGATATAGAAAACTGTTTCTCTTGTTTGGTTAAAGAAAAGAAAGAAACAAGAGAAGGAAAACCCTCTTCTTTTAGTGAGAAAAATGAGAGAAAACTATTTTCTTTTCTTTTCTTTCTAAATCCCTTGAACCAAACATAGTGTTAGTGTTGAATGAACGGTCTACATGAAGTGAAGCCTAACATTTCCCTGAAGATTGCAAATTTTGCACGGAAATGGTGGACGTGATAGAGAGATTGAGAATGGGTTAACATCAAGCCGGCAGCAAGATTGAGTTATAAAGACTGGCAACAATTGAGTGAGTTCAATATTTTACTCCGTAAGCTATACCCCGGGGTACTGCCTATTACTTTACAGTTCAACTATGCCATATGTACACCACCACCATTGTTACATCATGGTGTACGCCAAGACACTTTTCACCTTCAACGCTTGAGAAATTTCGCCGACAATATTCGTAGAGTTGTACTTGTAGATGTGACACTTATACCTACAACATTTCTCCCACAAGTGTTGTAGATGAAAAGTGACTTTGGTGTACCAAAGGTATTTCCCCTTTCCAATTTGCTCCTTCAAGGTGTAACTGCTGTCCTACTCCGTACTTCTTTTGTATTATTGAAAATTGTAATTTTCTTAGAATTTAATGGCAGTGTTTTAAAAAAATATTCATTTGGTCCTAATTTAAGTTGCATATTATTATTCACATACTCAAACTTTATTCATTTTTTAAAAAAATAATTTTCACTATTTATTTGATAAAATAATAGTCATGTAGTCATCTCTTGTGATGTAGATTTTTTAATATATTTTTTAAACATATAAAATTAATTTTTCAATTTCATTTCAATTTTAAATAAACTTAATTAAAAACTAATTTTAATCCTACATCGTAAATAACGAGTTCCTATATCGTACAACCGAATGTACCTAGAGATAGGTACATCCGGGTACTACTCATTCTGAAGTGGAGTAGTACTCATTCTCGCACAACATAACTATAATGTGGTACTCATTCTAAAAAATGTAGTATTTATTCTAAAATAATGTAATATTCATTTTCACAAATTTATTCAATACAATTATAAAATTTATCTACAAATAACGTAATGTACATTTTGAAATAAAATAGTACTCATTCTTAAAAAACTTAATGTTCATTCTCAAATAAATAAAATCCATACCATAAATATTCATTTTCAATATTAAGATCTCTATGTGGGGTATTAAACCTCTTAACCGTATTTTCAAGTTTTGCAACTTGTTCTTTCAAAGCTTTGCAAGAGTCACAACCGTTAGTAGAACTCTCGGGTTTGTCGATGCTTCTTTTGCCATAAAACTTGTTTTCTTCTTTAAGTTTTTCATTATCTTTTGTCAAGTTTTCAAAATAATTTTCAAGAGTGGAAAGACGTTTCTTTAAGGCTTTATTCATTTTAGAAGCTCCGACAAACTCTTGATAGAGTTCTTATAGTGCACCTTGCATTTCCTCAAAAGAGTAAGGGTTAGAGGAAGTGGTACGTGCCTGTTCATCGTCGGGGGTCGTTGGCGAGTCTTCCTCGTGCGCCATAAGACATAGGTTCGCAGCTTCTTCATCCCCTTCGTTGCTACATTCATCTCTGCCATCGCCTCCCTAGGATATGTATGCCCTTTGCTATTTGAAGTGGCGTCCATTCCTTCATCCATTCGCCTTTGGGTATTTGATCTTGTTATGCCAGATTTCACCGCATACGTAGTATTCGGGGGCATCATCATTTTGATCTTTCTTCTTTAGAAGTTTGCAAAACTTCTTAATTATGATCCTTAGCTCGTCATCATCACTAGAGTCATCCTCCCTTGATTCTTTGACGACTTTGAGAGTTATGCCTTTCCTTTGATCATCAAAAGACGGGTTTAAGAATAGTAGATTCATAGGTTTTTAAATTACTTCGTAGACCATCGATGGTGATGTTAGAGACACCATTGACTCGTATATGGCATTGGCCTTGGATCTCCATTCGGGTGTAAGACTTCGCAAGATCTTTCTCATAAGCTCCTTGTCGCCATATGTCTTCTTTAGGGCATGGAGATCGTTGACAATTTTCGAAAACCAATCGAACATTTCGTCGATCTTCTCGTTCTCCTTCATTCTAAATAGTTCATATTCTTGTGTTAAAAAATCAACTTTAGCTTCACGTACTTGGTAGGTGCCTTCATAGGTGACCTCAAATTTGTCCCACATTTCTTTAGCGGTGGAACAGCAAGAGATATTCCAGTAATCATTTGCATTCACGGTGCAATAAAGCATGTTGATGGCCTTTGCATAGTTCTCGACCCTTTTGATGTCTTCGGCATAAAACTAATAGTCTTGGGAACCTTGGTTGTATGAAGGAATGATGTATTCTTTCGGGTTGAAGTCTTGGAGTGCGGTACTTCCGAGCAAGTGTCTTGAGGCTCGTGGGACTCGAGTTTTCAAGTTGTAACAGTTTGTTAAGCACCCGTAAGCTTAACATAAGTAGTATAGCTCGAGAGAGTCTTTTGGGATACTAGACGTAGCCACAAGTTGTGGTGAATCAGTGTATATCGTTGTGTTCTTTTCTTATGTTTTTTAATTTCACTTTATCCTTTTAAATTTTATTTCGTGAAAATTTATCAACATTCTCGTGCCTCACTATTCACCCCCACTAGTGAAGGACACTTATTCTAACAAAATAACGTATAAATTAATCTGAATTCGTATTCAAAAAACATCATCCGATTTCCTTTTTGCCCAGAATTGAAATTGATGAATCAAAAAAATTGAGAAGCAAGCTTGATGTATTCAAAACTCTCAACAAGAGCACCGTTGATGGAATCTTGGGTCTAAGGTGTCTAGAAAAGGAGAATTTTGATAATAGTAGAGGCAAAGTAAAGAAGAAGATGATGAATAATGGTATTGAGTGTAGTGCTGAATGTGTATTGTGTTGTCTTTCTCCCTCTATCAAGAGGGATATAAATAAGGGGATAGTAGGGTTGGTTAGGGTTTGGGCCCATATCATATACAATAACTAATGGGCTGGCCGAATAGATGGTACTGTCTAAATAACAATTAGTACACGATTAACATGCTGGTCCAACATATTGAACCGCCCCAATTAAATAAAAGCTTTCACAATTTTTAAATAGTGAAGTACGTAAATAATTTAGAGACGAAGGGAGTATGTGTGGATCTATTTTGGAAGAGTGGGAGTCTATATCCAAATTTAAGTATTTTTTTGGGTTAATTTTACTCAGTAATTTTTACTCCGTAACATTCTCAAACCACTCACGGCGCAACTCACGGTTCTAATAAAATACAGAGTAGTCTAGACTCTCTAGCCTGAACAAAAAGAGAGAGATAGCTGGAACCGTACTTTTACCGCCTCTCTCTCTCTCCTTCCCTGCGGAAACACACCGGAAACTCAAGAAAACAACAACAATCTTCAAAATCGAAGCTCCGAAATCCTGGAATTCCCTTCTTTAATCTGGCCCGGTTCATCTTCTTTTCCTTAATGTGCTGTGTTCATCATTCCTTATACAGTAATACGCGTACTCTTGAAAACTCCACTAGCTGGAAATGTGTCTGGACGCTATCTTGGATTTAGTTTCTGTTTCATAGTTCTGTTCATTCATCGTGTTGTGTAGGAGAGCTCGGGCTCCGTTATAGGTAGGCTTGTACATGCGTGGATGGGTACTGGAATGTTGTTTTTTTCCGTATGAGTTTTCAGGGGCAATCGATTTCCTAGGGTTTCTTGCATCTAATCTTGTTTAACCTCATATCGTAGGCACTGCATTTAGATTTAGAGAATGCCTTTGTATAGAAGAAAAACATTTCCTTTGGAGGGAAAGCCCACTGATTTAAAGGCGAATGAGCTTGTCTTCCAAGTTAAATTCACAAAGGAGATATTCAGGGATTATGAGTAAGCCATGACAGCTTGCAACTCATATTCTCTCTTAATCACATTTTTTTAAATAAGGATTTATTATTGATGAAAACTAAATGTTTTCTTAGCTCATATTTGAATCAAATGCAGTGATTATGTAAAGAGGATAAATCTCTATAGGCAGAGGATCTGGACTTGCAAATTAACTGGAAAAAGCAACTTGACATATGCGGAGGCATTGGCTTCAGAAGAGGCTGCCGGGAAAGAGGCCCAACAGTTCCCGAAAGAACTGATGGAACCAGTTCTTCGTGACGTTCAATTTAGTAATTTCCTGAACTTGTTGGATTTCACTTAGATTTGTTTATGATGCTTCGAGAATTTGTAATATTGCTGGTCCTGTGCCTTGAGTCTTCTACCTACCAGAATGTTGAACCATTCAGCTATAAAGCATGACAATGAACCTCGGGTTATGTGCTTTATTTTGTGGCAGTGCAACAGAAAAATCTTGGTTCTGATATGTTTATACGTGTTTTTGATGTTTTTTAAAATTTTGAAATTGAGTCACATAATGGGAATCTTTGGGCTTCTTATTTAATATTGGCTCAACCAGTAGGTTAATCAGAAAATGTATGTATGCATGGATCTTGAAATGGGGGTTTTCTACTTCATAACTTAGACAAAGGTGAAGTGGTTACTACTTTTTTCAACTTGTTACGTTGCATTTCCAACATTTTTCTGTCAAGATATCGTAAGCATACTAATATATTTGTGGCACACTCTCACCTGTATATCGCATATGGAACTTCTAATATCATGAAGATGACACAAAGAAAGCAATCCAGAAGCATTATTTTACCAGCCTTGGACTGTCTTGTCAAATGTGTAACTCTGTTTTCATTGGTGTGAAAGATTTATTATGGCGAAATGTGTCAATGGGGAGCCTGTTGGAGTTTTTTTCATTCAACTTCATTTTCCACTCTTTTAATGACCTTGCAATCTGGATTTTATGCAGGCATGCTTAGTTTAAAAGCTCTTGTCAATACAATTGCTACAAAGCTTCAAGGCTGCTTGTCAGAGGGTAGTGAACTGTATGGGAGGATGAACAATTGTGTTTATCCTTGCAAGATTGTCAGAGTTGTAAAAAATCAGAAACCTCTATATCAGGTGTCTTGGATGGACAAATTTGATAAAGTATGTGAAAACACACTATTAAAGGAAGAAGATCTAATACAGAAGAAGCTGCCTTGTAGTAAAGGAGCTCTGAAACTTTTCGTCAGAGAGTCTACATGTCGTAGCATTCCTTGGGTTTTACATAATGAGTTGGCAAAAAACTATGGTATTCCAACTCATCCTCCAGAAGAGTTGAAAGAAAAATTCTCGGTGCAGGATGGAGTGGTTGTTGCCAACAGAAAGAGAAAGAAAATTGGAGAAACAAAAAATGATGTAATGGTAACTATAAGTCTGTTTTCAACCCCATCTTTATGATTCTTTTGATGTCGATGGCATAATGATTAGTTCTATTTTTTTTGTGTTTCAGGAAGTTACTGTGTTGTCAGATGACTCAGATTCCAAGAGGGAGTACATTAGGAGAGAAAACCCCAAGTACTTCACAAATGGAGGGAGTATCGGTGAGAGTTAATGCATAGTCTAATTTGTAAATGCCTTATGATAATGTTTCTCATATTTCAACTTTTGATCCACTTTGGAGATTATGTTTACCAATACTTGATGTTTTCAG